GAAAATGGCAGAACCATACATTTAAAAGGGAATAAAAAGCACATTAAACATTGATCATTTCTAACATCATAAGAACAAAAACCTACACTAGGTACATTTTTAACAACCCAGACTCCCCACATGGGATGATGAAGGCTGACACGTGCATTTGAAAACGGCCATGGAAAAGTCATCGGTTTAAGTAAAAGAACCCAGATCCCCTACACACATTCCACAGCAAGTATCTGCCGTGTTCTGAGACCGTGGGCTGGAACCTGGTCCTGCTACGGCAATGGGACACCTAAACATCGAGAACCTGCTTAAAGGACAGCAATTTTTTTTTTTTTTTTTTGAGACAGAGTCTCGCTTTGTTGTCCAGGCTAGAGTGAGTGCCGTGGCGTCAGCCTAGCTCACAGCAACCTCAAACTCCTGGGCTCGAGTGATCCTTCTGCCTCAGCCTCCCGGGTAGCTGGGACTACAGGCATGCGCCACCATGCCCGGCTAATTTTTTATATATATATCAGTTGGCCAATTAATTTCTTTCTATTTATAGTAGAGACGGGGTCTCGCTCTTGCTCAGGCTGGTTTCGAACTCCTGACCTCGAGCAATCCGCCCGCCTCGGCCTCCCAAGAGCTAGGATTACAGGCGTGAGCCACAGCGCCCGGCCTGGACAGCAATTTTGAGACCATGTCTCTCACGTAACATCTGACGGATATTTAGCAGCCGAGTCCTACCACTTGCTCTAATCAGCCCCCCGCACGACTGGGACAGGGAGAAGAACCAGGGAAACAAGCACGAGAGACTGCCAGAGTGACAGCTGACAGTCACGGTAACTGTAATCTGACCTCTACATTTTAAAGGAGAAAAACCACACGCTGACCCAAATTCGCGGTGCTAACTCGGGCAGACCCCTTGGGACACAGGTCTCCATGCTCAGTCTGGCACCCCTGCTGTCGCCAGGCGCGATTCAAAACCCGGCTCCAACCTGCCCCGCGTGCAGCAGTTCTTCCTCAGGTGTGAGCGACATTCCAGACTGCGCTGAGAGCAAGCCCCTTCCTACTCTCAGCACCTGGCACAGGGCGGCTCCCGCCACACCTTGGTGCAGCCTGAGGTCCTGGGACTTGGTGTCGGACTTCAGGAGACTCTGTCCTCTTTGGGGGTGGGAAACCTTATGTTGGGGAATGATTTGATTAGTGTTTCTTGTCTTGAAAGACTGCCCCGAGAAAGGGGAGCGGGAAGCAGGAAGAGGTTTTGGATCCAGGAGAGAAAGGACAGCGACCCACACTGAGATTCAGGCGGTGGGGGAGGGGGAAGGCCAGACCTTCACAGCTGACGCACATGTGGGCGGCAGGAGAGAGGGGTGGAGGGTGGCACCGAGCTTCCGGCTTTGGTGACAGGGGCCCCCAAGTGCAGGAGGAAGGCAGACAGAGCACAGAGTTCAGTCTGGGCCAGGAAGTTGCCAGGGGGACACCCAGAAAAATGCGTTCGGTGGGATCTGTTGCTTGGACGGCTGATTCTGGGCTCAGTCTACACATCGAGCGTCCATCAAATGCAACAGACTGCCATTTAAGGGACAAAAGAGCTCCTGGGGGTGGCGGTGGACGGTCTCAAACCCTGGGCAGAAGTTGGCAGCCCAAGCGCCACTGAGATTTGGGAATCGGGTCCCCTGGTGGCACGATGAGGGGGGAGGTCTGGCGGCTCCACAGGGTGAAGGTGCAGAGAGCGAACTGAAGCAGGGCGGCAGGCTGGGAGGGGACAGAAGAAAATGAGGCCCTTTAGGGTGGGAAACACGTGAGCATGTTCACAGAAGGAAGGGGAAGCGTGACATACAGGAGGGAGATGGGAAGTAGAGGAGCAGGGTCCCCCAGGCAGCGGAGGGTCGGAGCAGGTCTGGCAGCTGGTCTACAGCAGAGGTCCCGACATGGGGTCCAAGCCAGTCTGCTGAGGGCTTCTTCCATCTCTACACGGGACTTTCCTTCTCATTCTCCCACCCCAGCCCCACCCCCACTGTCAGAGCAGCAGGTCAGCAGCCCTGCCCCTGGGAACTTCAGACATGCAAATTCTCAGGCCCCATCCCAGGAGGGCTGGGCTGAACCAGCATGGGGGGGGGCGCCAGGGGGCCCAGCAACCTGTGTCTCAAGGACCCCCCTGGGGACTCTGGTGCTCACCCAAGTTTGAAACACAGGGCAGGGACAGCAGCTCTCAGTCCCGGCTGCCGATACTGAGGCGCCACCCACGATTCTCACTGCGCTCACCCGAGTGACTTCCCCAGGTGCGGCTGCACCATGAGCCACCACCATGAGCGCTGGGAACTCCCCCGGTGGAGGAGGGAGAAGAGAACAGATGGAGATGAGTTGGTCTTAGCTTTGGTTTTCCTGTGATTTGTGTGTTTTTGGGGGGGTGGGAGGGGAATTCTTGCAGCAGGATTAGAAATCATTTGCCAAGAGTGGCGGGCACACGGGCAGTCGGAGGGCAACATGTTTGCAGTGACCACTGGAAAAGACAGAGCTGCTGAGGGCCAGGGGCAGACATCCCAAAGGCAAGCGCAGCCCAGCTCAGAGGGGCAAGCAGACGCCCCTGGAAGCAGCTGGGTGATCTCCTCCAATGCCACTCGGCCACCAGCAGGGAAGGAGGACTCCGAACCAACTGCACCGCCCAGCACCGTGTGACCCCGCCCATGACAGCTCTGTCAGCATCCTCATCTATGTGGAGCTCCTCCAAGCTACCAGACTTGGGGCAGGGACTCTCGCCACAGCACCCAGCATAAAACTGGCCCGAAGGTCCCTGTCACTGCCATGACTCCTGATCGTGTGTCCAGGACTTACGAATAGACGCCCCCCTGGTTCCCCAGGCGTCCAGACACCTGGATGTTTTCTTTTTTTTTTTTTGAGACAGAGTCTCACTTTGTTGCCTAGGCTAGAATGAGTGCCGTGGCGTCAGCCTAGCTCACAGCAACCTCAGACTCCTGGGCTCAAGCGATCCTTCTGTCTCAGCCTCCCAAGTAGCTGGGACTACAGGCATGCGCCACCATGCCCGGCTAATTTTTTCTATATATATTAGTTGGCCAATTAGTTTCTTTCTATTTATAGTAGAGACGGGGTCTTGCTCTTGCTCAGGCTGGTTTTGAACTCCCGACCTCGAGCAATCCGCCCGCCTTGGCCTCCCAGAGAGCTAGGATTATAGGCGTGAGCCACCGTGCCCGGCCTGGATGTTTTCTTAATTGGAAGACTCAAGTCACTAATTGCCCACTTCCCTTTTCTGTGACTGTCCCTGTGTTGTTCTCTGTCCTGGTAATGTGCCAATACCACAGCGGTCTTAGACTGAACCCGCCACCCACCTAAACACCTCCCTGACACCAATAGCCAGCCTGACCTCCCAACTGACTAGTCACCTGTCCTCTAGCTTACATCAGGTGACCCCACCCCACCCCCAGGCTGTCCGCAGACTGTCAGCCTCAGGAGTCTGCAAGGCACACCAGGCCTTGGCAACCCTTCCTGCCCAAGTCACCAACCCAGCCACACCTGCGCTTCTGCTTTGCCAACTGACCCAGGGCTACCTGGGAGTCCTGCAGGCATGACCCCCACTCCCGCCACCCTCTCAGAACATCACCCCACCCCGGAACTTCCAGCAGAGCCGCTGTTTGCTCCCCGTGACCCCGACGTGTCTCTGAGACAGCACTGGCCCCACCTGGAGCTGTGGGGCCTGCCAGATCACACGCCACCCGTGTGGGAACTTCACCACGTGTACCTTTATACATTCCCAGAACCAGCTGTTTGCAGAGGAAAAGCTAGTCTCCCCCCATCCTCCCAGGTCTCAGGACCCCTCTCCCCCACTCCCAGGACTATGACCTGAAGCTCCTTAAGACGCAGCTTGGCTGGCAAAGGCCCCGTCAGGTCAGTCTGCCCGGCTCTCTGCAACCCCGCTGTCCACCCTGCTTTGGTGTGGGTCCAGGTGCCGCCTTGCCTCCCCTGCTCTTACCTGGCTGTCCTCATTTTGAGCTGCTGGGCCAAACCCCTGAGGTGACTGGGGTAAGGACAGGGTGCCCCGAGTTTGACAGGCGTGTCTTGGTGGGGAGAGCATCAAGAAGTCACCGAGGGAGGTGAGCAGCTGCGGGAGTCGGTAACAGAACTGCCAAGCAGGACAGAAGCCACTGGACTGGGAACCCGCCTCTGCCCCCTGGGACTCGTCGACTTTCTCAATCGCCCGTCCGCTCAGGCTGTTCCCGCCAAATGCAACCTCCCGATCCCCGATCCCCGGGCACACCTGCAGGGCTCTGCCTGTCCCTCCGGCCTGACCCCGCCTTCCAGGACACGGGGAACCAGCAGACCCCAATCCCTGCTCAATGCAGCCCCTCTGTGGCCGGTATGGACCTGCTTAACTCCAGCAATTTCCCCACTTGCCTAAGTTATATCCCTGTATCAACAGAGAATTCCAGTTTGTACAAACACCACGCCCCCCGCACCTGTGGCCGGCGTTGCTGGGACGTGATGGGACGGGGGGTGGGGGGCCTGCACTGGCCCGACCCCGTGGCTGCACCTGCTCCTGTCTGCACAGCAGAGCTCGGAGACCCAAGTCCAAGTGCCTGCCCCCTTCTTCCACCTGTGAGGAAATCTCAAAGTGAGATCTGTCACTTCTCCCTTATCTTTCCCTGCAGAAATCTAAACATTATTCAGTTAAAAAAAAAACAACAAAAAAAACGCAGGGATATTGAGTTTCCTTAATACAGTATTCACTTAAAATCCCCCACAAAGTTTACTGAGCCGATTCAGATTTCTTTTTATTCCTAAACTTAAATAAGTATTTAAATAAATGGAAATGTTTCTTTATTCCTCTTTATTCTTAAGTAAGGCCTGCTCTAAATTTTTCCACCAAGAGAGCGGGAGGCACAGTGTCCCTGTACCTGAAGGCCACCTGAGAGCTGACGGGGAGAACTGCCCGTCTGACCCGGGGAGACAGACTGGGGCGTGGCTGGGATGTACCTTTTCAAGAGTCAAGCAGAAAACCAGACCGGACACAGGAAGGACTCACAAAAGCACAATGTTTATTGCACCAAGACCTTGGCAACGAGGGGCTCCCGGGCCCCGGAGAGGAGGCACGGTGCCTGGGGACACAGACACCTGTGCATGTGCACGGGCGACACGGCTAGGGCGAGGGACAGGTGAGCACGGGGACACGAGCCCCGGGAGCCGGCCGTCGCACAAGGGCCCCGGCTCCTCCAGCTCCCTCCAAGCACAAAGTTTATCAGACCCAGATCCTGAGTCACCCAGGTGGCCGCTAGTATAAAGGCTTCAGTTATTTATATCTACGTATGTACATGTCACCTGGAGCTCGGACTAATTCTCTGGGCCTTGTCCTTTCTCTTCTGGCCGATGGCTTTCTGTGGAAGGAGAGGACTCGACGGTGACAGTGATAAATGCTGCAGAGGGTCAGGCCAGCACTCACCACTGCCCGAGAGATAACGCATACAGTGTCCTCAGGAAAAGGCTCTATAATTATCTAGTGGAGAAAGAAGAGGACGAGCTGGAGGAGAGGAGGGACAGAAAGAAAGGAGACAAAATCGGGTCTGGCAGACAACTAAAGTTTTCAACTGCAGGACATCACGGAAAAAACATGGCAGGGCCAAGAGTTCACGCAGGAATGAATGTCAACACCTCGAGGGGAAAGGAAAGGCCTGCCCCGAAGGTGGCTGCGTCCCCCACGATGGTGGCGTACGAGCCACCGAACGCTCAGGCCAGGCCTCGGGGAGGCCCACGGCTCCCTCCGTCACCCGCTGCTGGGACCAGAGGCTGCCGCCCAGCTCGGGCACAGGTATCACTATGCTCTCCCAGCTTTTGTAAAAAGAGAAATATAAAAACAGGAAGAAAAAACCAAAAAGAACCACCCACATAAAAAAAAAAAAAACAAACAAAAAACGAACATATCTCCTCATATACAGAGAGCAGTTCTCCTTTCTCTACCCCCGCGTGAACCCGGGCCCCGAGCAGGGGGCTGAACAGAAACGACTCCAACCGAAGAGGGGGCCGCAGAAGAGGCCAGAAAGTCAGACAGTGTCTGGCCGAGAACGGCCACTCCACAGGCGGGCCCAAGTCCTGCATGAGTGCCCCCCCCACCTGTGACGGCTCCGGGGGACAGGACAAGGACGTGCGCCCTGTGGAGCAAGCTCAGACCTTCTGCCGCCTTCTGCCCCTTCTGCTACTACTAGGCCACTTGTCTGTCTTCTTGAAAATTACCACCTTTGCTGAGGACCTCCCATATTTATTAAATTAGGAGTTTGCAGGCACAGCTTGAGCAAGATAAAAAACAATCTTCAAGTCATACAATCGTCTCAATTCAAAAGCACTCACAAAATTGAGCAAACAAAGCCAGCAACTGCGCAATGGGAGACGAAACTTATTGCTAATGGAAGCCGCAGGCCTGGCCGAAAATAAATGATTTATGCTGTTAAGTGGTAAAACAAATGGCCAGTTCTACCCCAGAACCCACCTCAGTGAGACCCGTGCTAACCACAGCGGCCAGGGAAGCTCCAGCAAAGACGCCCCACAGGGAACAGCGGCCTCGGACGCAGCTGTGTCCCCAGGTGATGCGGCCCGCCCCACAGCCCTGCTCTCCAGTCTCCGGTCACCTACAGGGAAGGTGCGCCGTAGGGCCACCCCCCGATTCCACAAAAAGGAGAGGTGGCCATGTGGGGGTGGCCTCGGGGCCCTCCCGTCCCGAGGACAGACAGGTAAGGCGCACAGGCAGGGGCCCCCACGACACGGGCAGGGCCCAGCTCAGACGGCAGCACCAGCCGCGAGAAGCAAGGGACGCTCGCCAAGAGCAGCAACCCACCGCACGTCTGTCGCCCTGTGAGCCGGGGAGACACCTGGGAGGTGTGAACAACTCCCTCGCCCTCCCTGACGGCCCCAGGCCCGGGGCAGACAGACCCCTGCTGGTACAGACGCCACTGTCCACGAATACAAGGAGGTTCGGCCTGTTCCGGACGTCCCACAGGTGTGCTGTCATCTTTGCTGACACACAGGCCGCGGTTTCTCTTTCAGGGTTTGTCATGAATGCCACCAAAGAGGCCCAAACGCCTCTGCATCGGGTCACCTGCAGAAAGGGGCGCCAGGAGAGGCCCCCACGGCAGGTTCACAGCGCAGCGGCCTGGAGGTGACAGGACAGCAGAGTCCCCACAGACGGCGCCCTCAGATCCAGGAAGTGATGCCTTGTCTCCGGGAGGCTGGGGGACAAAGCACATTGGTCCTGACCGTGAGAAATGAGACCCCAACATTCCCACTGCCACCCTCGGGCGTGAGTCCAACGCAGGAAGCCGAGACGCGGCATCTCACCGTAGCTGGGAAACGCCACTCGGCCCTTCTGCAGCTGACCGGCACACAGCCCAGGGACAACCCACCCACACCGCATCTCACACCGCCACACCCGCCCGCAGCACACACGCCCACCTCTCTCTCACACCCACGAAGGGACCTGCCTGGACAGCAGCACGCTCAGCGGCGGTAGCTGAGGCTGGCAGCCTTGGCTGGGTGAGTCACGGCCCAAAAGTTCCGTCTGCTCTGAAGCTTCTGGAAGGCGTTGAAGTTCCTTTTCTTCTCTCTCTTGCATTTTCTGATTTTCTTTTCCTACATAAAGAATTATTTGGTGTCACAATTCCCAAAAGGGCTCTCGCCTCACCCGCGGTGGCTCCTTCGTGCACAGGCAGTGGCAGCGTTCTCTGCGCAGGCAGGACTCGTACGTGCCCACGTGCAGACTTACTCTTCAGGACGACCTCCCGTGGGAGGTCTCTGCTGGGGCCCACGGCCACGTGCTGGGACGGGAGCCCAGGCGGGCAGGCGGGCCCGGGCCGGTGCTGCCCCTCAGCTGCTCTGAGCCCAGCTCCTCCCCGCGCGGCTCCCGCGGAGCCACTATCAAGACCACGCATCGCACCTTCCCCCGGTCAAACTCTTCGTCCCACTCATCGACCACAGTCTCGGCCCGGGCCAGCCTGCTGTCCTCCATGGCGTCGCGACTGACCGCCGACACCTCGCCATCCCAGGTCAGAACTGCAAGACAGACACGCAGCGTCAGCACGTTCGTGGATTACCTACTGCCCTGTGGACTCACGTCAAGAATGTCGTTTGCCTCCTAGCTCTTGGGAGGCCGAGGCGGGCGGATTGCTCAAGGTCAGGAGTTCAAAACCAGCCTGAGCAAGAGCGAGACCCCGTCTCTACTATAGAAAGAAATTAATTGGCCAACTGATATATATATAAAAAATTAGCCGGGCATGGTGGCGCATGCCTGTAGTCCCAGCTACCCGGGAGGCTGAGGCAGAAGGATCACTCGAGCCCAGGAGTTTGAGGTTGCTGTGAGCTAGGACGCCACGGCACTCACTCTAGCCTGGGCAACAAAGCGAGACTCTGTCTCAAAAAAAAAAAAAAAAAAAAAAATG